TCTGAGATAAGGTATTGTAACTATTTACACCATTCGGACTGTTGTCCTCATCTTTATTGCCATATTCATGACGTTTTAGCCGTTGTATGTTCTGGTCTTCTTTAGGATCTGTCTATATTTCTGAGATAAGTTATTGTAACTATTTAAACTATTTACACCATTTGGTCTTTTGTCTTCATCTTTACCATATTCACAACATTTCAGCTGTTGTATGCTCCTGCCTTCTTCAGATGATATACAGTGGAATTTCAAACCAAACCCTTTATTTCAACAAGTGACTTGACCCAAAGAGTTATGAGTTCAATACCTGGCCACAGCAGAAAGAACAAAAACTTGGAAAGTTGAGTTACTAAAGGGAATTAACTGAAACTGAAAAAAAAGGCATGGCATGTGGAATTAGAACAATCTACTCCTGTGAACTAAAAAGGTTTGGTTGGTTGGTTGTTTTATGGCATATCAACCTCACTGGGTCATTTAATTTTAACAAAATTTTTTAAATAGATTCATAGCAACAGTTTGGTAAAAAAAAAAAAGGTGTGTATGTATGCATATATATTTGAACCATTTTTCAATTACTCATTTTTGAGTACAATCACATGTATTGCTGGTAATCTTTTTTTTCAAAAACGCATTGTGCTGGTAATATTTTCCTCAAAAATATATTGCTGGTAATAGTTTTTTTTTCTTCAAAAATTTATTTCTGGTAATAAATGTTTACAAAGTATTTCTGGTATCAAAACCTATTTTTACACTTTTACAATGCTCCTTGCTTCATTTCCGGGGCCAACAACCCACCCACAGCTGGGACCCCAACAGGTGCCACCACCCCAGACCAAGGCAGACCTGGGAACACCAGCAATCAAGAGGCAGTTCCAAACTCCTCAAAACCTGTCTATATTTCCGAGATGAGGTATTATGTACATTATTTACATTATTCGGACTATTGTCCTCATCTTTGTTGCCATGTTTATCACAACGTTTCGGCTGTTGTACATTCTGGCCTTCTTCAGGTGGTTGGAATGTCGAACTGAACCTTTTATTTCACTCACTGGGGTAGACTGTTCTAGTTCCACGTGCCATGTCTAATGGATGTCAGTTATCAGTTATCGCCTGTTAATTCCCCTCTCCAAGTTCTCCACCAACTTAACCAGGTATTGAATTCACACTCTTTGGGTCCTGTCACTGGATCTAACTAACGCCTTTATCCACTTTATAGGACACATGGCACATTATGCCTCTTCCTTATCAGTATTCTATCTGCCCACTTCTCAGGGCTGGCATAACTGTCTTTGTGACAAATCTAATTTTTAAAGTGCGTAGTTGAAAAGGTGTAGTTTATTGTCATTAATTTCAATTCTCTGACTCCCTCTCAATTCCCTATTATTACCTCTGTCCAGCAAGAACACAAACCAGACCACTGCCTCTCATTTTAACATTCTGGGTGATAGATAAAAATTATTTCCCAATTTGTTTTCATCAATGGAAATATATTTGTTTCCCTAAATTCTCAACAGAGACACACTGTTCTCCATCCATGGGCATATTAGCAAAACCATAAATCAGACCACCTGCCTGTTACAACAGAATCAATTTTCATAATCCTAACCCTCATAGTGGGTTCATTCTGTTTTCATTTCTGAATTTGTTTTCTAAATATAATTCTAGTCTGCCTTTCTTCTCACTAATAGCATATATTTTTCTAATTTCCCCAAGAAAAAGAAAGCCATTTCCCAATTGTTTTACTTGCATGCCAGATTTTTGATAGATTAAAAATGTAAACTTTTGGTGCATTGTTCCAATTCATAGGAGGGGAAACAATCCAGAGAGTCCTTTTTTTTTCCTTCTATATTACCAGGGAAAATTTCTTCCATTCTCTCTTTTTATCTTCCAGTTTATATTTTATTTTGCACTTAAACTTTTTCTGCTTAGAATTAACATTTAACAGCTTCACAGTATCACATGCAGATGACCTAGATATCACCATTACTGATTCCACAGTTCTCCTACATCATCTAGAAAATGCTGCCAATGATGTTGGACTCTATATCAATGCCTCTTAAACTGAATTCATAGGCTTCAACCAGTAAGGCTTAATACAAACTGTCTCAAATGAATCAATAAAATCTGTTAAATCCTTTTACACGCCTCGAAAGTGAGATAAATTCAACTGAAAAGGACGTGAAAATTTGTATGGCTAATGACTGGGCCACCTTGAACAACTTGGATGTAATCTGGAAATCTGATCTACCAGACAACCTCAAGTAGATATTCTCTTGAGCCACTGTAGAGGGGGTGTTAATGTATGGTACCACTGCCTGGATATTAGCTAGGTATATTACTAGAACAATTAGTGGGGGGGAAAGGAGAAATCCTGCCTGTCTGGAAAACCAGCATTTGGAATGTTCATTTTTACTTGAGCTTGAACACTGACTGGGATCCTTGGTGAAAATATCCAACTACTTTTGTTACCAAGCAAATCCTGTGTGTGCGTTTTATGTGGCACACAGGCAGAAAAGAGAAGCGAAGGCTATAGAGATTGAAATTCTTACACCAACACGCATGAGTTCTATATACACAAGTGCAGCACCTCTGGTTTTATTTTCCTTTTGTTTGTTCTCTTTTTAATCAAAGTACATTTTAGATTGTAATTTTTCTTGACAACTTCCTGTTTAGTCTAACAAACTACAATTTCAAAGCATTCAGTTCCTACTTTCTTAAACTCCTAACTACCTGCAAATGATAACATTGCCAGTAGGTAACTTCTTAACCTTTTTCTTTAAGCATTATTGATCTCTTAATATCAAATTATAATTTGGACATTTATTTAAGGTAGCCACATTGTATCCATTTATTTTTTCCACCATGTGTTGACTGTTCGCACACTGTGTTATACTGTAAGTTCATTTAACTTCCTTTATGTAGACTTATCACTAAACTAAATGTTTCGGTAAGCACTACTTGCTACCTACTTTATCCATTTAGACCAGGGGTCAACAAATGGAGTCCAAGCAATCCCCAAGGGGTCGATGATAGTCAAGGAGTCAAATGAGGGTTGGTGTGTGAATTACACTGGGGTAAATTTTAATTAGTGTACATCTAGTTGTATTCTTCAGTGCAGATGAAAGAAAGGCACTGAGCTCAACAATCAATGGAATGAAAATTCTTAGTTAAATCTATCCAAGTAACTTTTAACTTATTTTGATGAGACTGACAATGTTGCATTATTGCAGCATTAAGAATTGCAGAATTGCTTGCTCTGTGCCACATAGACTGGGACAAATTATCCCCATTCCTCTCGTATTCCATTAGTAAGGAGGAAGTTATATTCAGATGGCTTCTTTCAATGATCCGCTACTTTGTGGCACAGACTCCTAAGAGGATGTTTCACAGAACACTACAATCTTAACCTCTTAAAGCATAGAGTTAAACATTATCTTTCTTACATATCCTCATAAACTGCATTTCCTATGTTCAACCTCATTCAGTAACCCTCTACCCCGAGTGGCTCTTAGGCCTTGTATTCAGTAAACAAATAAAAAAGAAAGAAAGAAAAAGATAAATCTTACAAATTCTAAAGGTTGACCTATATTTTACGTGTCTCTGTTCTGTTATAAACCTTTTGCAAACTATTATTCCCAAGGAAAAAGAAGAATTTGCTATAAGCCATTCTTGTTGAATAGAAGTCTTAAAAAAAATGAAAAAAAAAAAAAAAATGAAGTCATTGGCTAGATTTTTTTCTTTTTTTTAAAATTCTGAACCTGATGAGCGTGGGGGGGGGTTGAATTTTGAACCTGATCCAGATTTCTTAACTTTGATATATTTTAGTTAACATTTTAATTGCCAACATAAGCGCAAGTTTTAAGATTCAAAAGATATTTTAAATGGATGTCACTGGGGAAGGAAGAGAAACAAAGGTGGGGGTGTGTGCTCTGGTTGAAAAAGTCTGATGACCCCTGATTTAGACTCTTAGTCTCCAGTTATGGTCTCAGTTTTCACCCCCCCCCTCTTTGTCATATTTCTTCTTTCCATTCCTTTTCACCTCTTTATTTTATTATTCTGACTAAACTAGTCTCAAGTTTGTATTAATATTTTTCTTGATTCACCTTTTTGGTTTCCAATAAACCTGCTGACGAACAAGGCTGTCTTTGGAGTTTTGATTGCTACAAGTCATTTATATGTGTCTGAGAGACAAACGCATATCAGGAGGGAGTCCGTTATTTTTGTTTATATCCCAAATTTGCATCTAAGACTTGGGGGATATATGGGAAGAAATTTGGAGGGTGGAAATGGATATTATTTGCTATCAAATAATGTCTTTCTGCAAAAAGCCTTCCAAGTTTAAAGTTGCAGGAATCTTCAGAAAAACTTGTAGGGTTGGCATTTATGAGATGGTCACAAATTTGGCAACGTTTCTTTATGAAGGAGTAAAGTTGCCAGTAAAATTGATGAACTGAAAAAAAATAAATCTTTTTTTTTTTATCTGCTTCTAAAATAATATAAGTTCTTTATGGTATAACAACTGATGTCTGTGTGGGATGAGTAGTAATTACTTTGAGTAAACTGGCAGCCATCCAAAGTTTTTGGCTTTCTTAGAAACAAGAAAAAGAGAAGTGTGACTTTTTTTTCTTGGCTGGTTGGCCAAAGTGGGAGAAAAAAAAAGCAACATTTAATGCACAATCAAAACTGATGAGAGATAACAAAGAAATAAAATCAATAAACTGAAAGACACAAACCAGTTTGAAAGATTTAAGGCAAGGAATGATATTACTATAGTAAAAGAAGTAGGGATTTAATTTGATTTACTTTTTATGGTTTATCAACCCTTTGTAGATCATTTAAAGCCAAACAGTCTTGGATTGCAAGAATTTTTTTTTTTTGCAAGTGAATATTGAATTTTTTTTTTTTTTAGGTAATTTTCAGATATAAGTCCTACTCCTTAGCCCATAGCTTGAAGAGAAATTATGGATTCATGCCTTTCCCAAAAAGGTATTTGGGTATAAACATCACCTGGTATTTCCAAGAGGTCACCCGTCTAGATACTGAACAGACTTGATGTTGCTTAACTTCAGTGATTTGATGAAAACTGGTATTTCAATGTGATATGGCCATAAAGTAGTAGCAGGGATATCATTACCATGGTTTTACAGAGTCTCTACATAAGATCTCTTCTTAGTAATGGTTCTTAGAGATAAAATCATAATCCTTTCCTTGCAATCCCAGATTTCCTTAATTCCATCTTGAATTGTTAAGACATTTTTTCACTTTCATAAGAACAGATTTAAAAAAAAAAATTTTCAAGTTAGAGATGTAAAGCTTCATGTAGATACTAACTTGTATGGACATGTGGCTGAGGGGTTAAAATGTTTGCTTTCCAACTATGGAACCCAAGTTCAAATCTCACCATGGTTGATTTGTCAGAAAGGAAACCTCTTTAGGTCATCTGCCTGGATGAGGTGATCACAGCATGTGGCACTGTTGGAAAGGTGTCTGAAAAATGATACCAAGGATTAACCCAAGCCTTATGATTGAAACTTAGTAGATGAAACTATTTTGGAGTTATCAATATTTGTGCTAGGGAGTCATCAAGGGTTTTAGCATACAGGCCTTGTTCAGACACTTGATCATGCCAGATAATGCACTCTTCTAGAAATGGTAACTAAAGTCCTCTCAGCATAGTTGGAGTATAAACTGTAACGAGCATGTGTGGAAGCGTCCTCAAACTACGTGTGTGTTTGTTTTCACCGGGCACACATTGGAGTACAATAATGGACTTGACCGAGGACTACAAGAAGATGAGCGAGTCATTTGGCATCTTTTTTAGGTAACAAAAGCTGTTGCGGTCGGTCATCTGTAGCAGTCGTGGGTGCCATTTGCTCGTTTTCTGTCGTAAAGCGTTCGTTTCAGGTTCACAAAAAGGCGGTGGTTTTTGTTCCGCAAAAAGGAGTTTTTCTTCCCCGTTTTTTCAAACAAGCTATTTCGGCATTATGGCCTTTGATCCAAAGCTGATACCACTGTTTGACAGAAGCGATTCTGGACAGTCGGTAGTGGAATGGTTGGAGAAGGTAGAACTAATAATGTCAGTTGAGTGGTGTGAAGCAAATTGAGTGTGTTATCACAATGCGTTTGGCAGGTGGCGCATATGCTGTGTACCAACAATTGAGTGAGGAGAAGCGTGCAGACTTCAATTGCGTTAAGAAAGTGTTATACATGGCTTTCGCCTTAGACCACTTCTCCGCGTGGAAGCAGTTTGCAGCACATTGCCTTCAGCCAGGGGAGACTTTTTAGCAGAACTGCGCCGACTCACGGTTCTGTTTGGTGGTGTATCAGAAAAGTGTTTGCAGTGTGCATTCGTTGTTGGATTGCCTGAGCATGCAGAGGAGCTTTTAAGAGTGTCATCCCGGATGGAAGACCTGGATTTGTCACATGTGCTGGCACGAGCTCGCGCTATTTTCAAGAAGTGCACTGGTTCCATGGAGCTGGCCGCAGTGGCTGCACAGTTGAAGGAAACAGATGTGCACACAAGGTGCTATAAATGTGATGGACCCAATCATAGGGCGAGTGATTGTCTCTTGGGCCATGAACCATCCAAAGGTGCTGGTACCAAGCACCGAAGGACCATCACTTGCTATCGATGTAATCGACAGAGGCACATTGCTTGATGTTGTCCGGGAAAACGAGCAAGTGGGCGAGAATTCAGTGCCAATCTCCTCCCTAAAACCCTTGTAAATGGTGCATTGCCTGTAGTGACAGTTCGCATCAAGGGAATACCACGTACAACTCTGGTGGATACAGGATGCGCACAGTCACTAGTCTGCAAGTCATGGACAAGAAAATCAACACGCATGCTTACAGTAGACGGAGGCGCACTTGACTGCTGTATAATCAGAGTGGTACAAGTTAGCGTTGGTGCAAAACCGTCCATCGCTATGGAAGTCCTAGTCATAGATGAAGACCTGCTTGGATTCGACTTGCTGCTCAGACTAGATGCCATCAAACAGTTGGGAGGAATATCTGTAACTGGCGCCGGTGAGGTGAAGTTTCCGCAGTGTGTCGAACCAGTCGTTGCTGCCATCACCATTACCGAGCCCGATTTTAAAGTAGAATTCGATGAGACCACTCGGAAGTGGACCGCATCTTGGAAATGGGCTGGCAACCAACCTCTGGGTACGTTAAGAAATAGACTGGCAGAATATCCAGCTCCCGCAAAAATTTGGGAGGAGTATGATTGAAAACTCCAGATTTGGATAGATAACAGCTGGCTGCTTCCTTACCTGGAGGAGAAACTCGGACCCCCAAAGGGTTTAATCCCCCTCATGACCATTCTGCAGGAAAACAAACAGAAGGTTCGGCCTGTTATGGACTATCAGGAACTCAGTGAGTACGTTGACACGTATGCAGCCAACACAGATGTTTGTTCTCAAAAATTATGGGAATGGCGTCAGCAAGGACCAAATGCTGCAGTGCTGGACCTATGCCGGGCCTATCTGCAGGTACACATTGACAAGTCCCTTTGACCATTCCAAACAGTGGAGATTAAGGAACAATGGTATTGTCTAACCTGCTTAGGATTTAAGCTCAATGTTGCCCCTTTAATCATGCGGGCCATTGTTAATATCGTCTTGAGCCAGGATGAGATAGTCAACGCAGCCTCCTCCTCTTATATTGATGGCGTTTTTGTAAATGAGAGTGTGTGTTCTGTGGTCCACATCAAGGAACATTTGGAGCAGTTTGGTCTGTCAAGTAAGACCCCAGAGTGGCTAAGAATTGGCACATGCGTACTGGGATTGCATGTCTGGGAGGAGCAAGGAAAACTGCGATGGCATTGTGAATGTGAACTTCCGGTAGTCCCCGTTAAACTTACCCACTGAATTGTCTTCTTGCTGTGCAGGAAGTTGACTGGTCATTTTCTGGTATTCGGTTGGTTACGTGTCACCACAGCATTTGTGAAACGGAGGGCAAACACTGTTACCACTGGATGAGATGATGAAGTGCAGGACCCTTTTCTAGCCCAGATGATCAATGACATTTTTAAGAGACTAGCCCAGGATGATCCAGTGAAAGGTGACTGGTGTATCAGTGAACAAAATGTAATCGTGTAGGTAGATGCAAGCTCCTTAGCCACCGGTGTGGTTGTGGAGAGTAATGGCGCCGTGGCAGAAGATGCAAGCTGTCTCCGACCAGTGCATGAAGACAAGCACATCAACTTGGCTGAGCTCGATGCTATGTTGTGAGGTGTCAACCTTGCATTACAATGGAAGGCTAAAACCATTCATTTACGGACAGACTCAGCATGTGTGCATTGCTGGGTAGCTGACACCCTGTCTGGACGAACGAGAGTGTGCACCAAGGCAGCCTCTGAGATGCTAATCAGACGTCGGCTAGCCACACCCCAAGAGTTGGCCTTAGAATACGAGCTGGACATTGATGTAGAGCTTATCAAGTTGTGCAACAATCAAGCTGACCAACTTACTAGAGTACCGCAGCGGTGGTTAAACGAACCCAGAGAACCTATGTGCACTGTGGCTGAAGAGCGAGATGTTGCTCAAGTACAGTTGCGATGGATGTAACCCATTTCGGACATCAACTATACCTGACGCTGATAAATTGTGACCCCAGTCGTTTTGTCATTTGGAAGCCCTTGCACCGCCAAGACTCTGCTAGCATCATCAAGCAGTTGTAAGTAGTGTTTTGTGAAAGAGGGCTGCCAATTGAGCTGCTTACAGATAATGGCGCAGCATTTTGTGAAGAGAGGTTTGCCACTTTTGTAAAGATGTGGAATGTACAAATATGATTTTGCTATGCCCACGTATCATCGGGGAATGGTATAGTTGAGAGATCCCATCGTACAATAAAGCGCATTGTGACGAGAACACGTTGTTCAGTTTTGGAAGCTGTATATTGGCATAACGTTACCCCAAAGGATAATAAAACAACTTCAACTGCACCGGTGAATGCAACCTACACCTACAGGGTCTGCATTAAGGGTATCGACGCAGCTTTGGTGCGTGATGACACAGTTGCCAATCCTTATACGGTAGGAGAGACTGTCTGGGTGATAAATCTGCACAGAAAGTGTACAACACAGTTCAACAAAGGTACGGTGACACAAATTAATAGTCCACGCTCCGTTTCTGTTGATGGAATACCACGCCACATAAAAGATGAACATCCAGCTTGCAGGAAGAATTATTCTGTCAGTGACCACGTTAGTTCTTCAGATGATGATGAAGCCCTGATGGTATATATAAAATCACAGGAAGAACACACCTCAGAGAGTAGCGCGCCTGATGAACCTATGCGGGATGAGCTCAGTGAGATGTCTGAAAGGAGCACCACTGAGGAAGCGCTTGAGACCATACCACTGAGACAGAGCACCAGGCAGAAACGGCCTGCCCCACATTGCCATTTGTGTGATCTCAAGATTAGGGAAGAGTGTAACAAGCATGCGCGGAAGCGTCCTCGAACTGCGTGTGTGTATTTTCGCGGGGCACACCTTGGAGTACCATAATGGACTCGACTGAGGACTACAAGAAGATGCGCGAGTCATTTGGTGTCTTTTTTTGAGTGACAAAAGCCGTTGCGGTCGGTCGTCCGTTCGTCGGCAGCAGTTGTGGGTGCCGTTTGCTGTCGTAAAGCATTTATTTCAGGTTCGCAAGAAGGCGGTCATTTCAGGTTCACAAGAAGGCGTCCCGCCCGTTTTTCACACATAAACCACAGGTGGGCTCTGTGGGTGTTGAACAAACAAATGCACCTGAGTAGGGGTCTGCAACAGAGATTGGCTAGCCACTCTCGGATATAAGCAGCCCGCTATGATAAATTTTGGATACTAATCTAAACAGAAGATAAATCTGACAAATAGGAAAAAAATCTTGGGATGATTCCTGGATGTGGGCCAGAGTTTTAGTTTGGAGACTTTAATACACAAAGTTCGTAGGCAAGATCTTACAGTTGTAATTAAATTTACAGATTTAATGCGATGGTTGATACTAGATTTTATAGTACATAATTGCGTTAGAGAAAAAAACAGCAGTGAAAGTACAAGAATTTTTTTTCCTTCAAGAATTGTTCTAATCCACCAACAGAATGTAAAATTTGAGCTACAAAGTTGT